AATCTCAAATTCTTAACCATTGAGCCACCCCATTGGGGTTTCATGGGTGTTGGTTGCCCGTGACAAAGGTGTGTCTCCACTCATCTTAGGTTTGCTAATAAAACACATTTAGTAGATTCCATCCTAATTACAAATTCAAGTTCTTATAGGAGTCAACTATGATCTAGATCCCAAAACTCCTTGCAAACCAAGTTAAAATTAATTAGGAAACTAAATCTTACTAGAACTACATATAAACATTTAGTCCAACCCAAATAATTAGAAATTTGAAGTTGACTCAAACTCCAATTGAGAAGAACTTTTTACGATTCAAAAGTGGAGTTGTGAAGGTTCCAAAACCATTCCTAAGGCCTTCAGAACCTTGTTGCATATGCATCCTTCTTGGTATTCTAGAACCTTAGGCAGGTATCCAAAATCTTCTTTGCTTCTAGTTGTTCATGACTTCTTTGAGTAATTCAAAATACATTCCCAACAATCTCCCTCTTAATTGACTTGAATTTCTCAAACATGCACTCCCCTCAAATTAAACATTCCCTCTTCATCTTGGACTTCTCTCACATGTGCAAGCAAACCTCTTCAACATTGTTTATTCTTCCAATTTTTGCTTCCTCCATGTATCCACTACTTCCAATTTTTTCTTCCACCACATACCCACTACATCATCACAATACCCACCATATTGCCTAGAATTTGAATCATTAGCTTTGATACCATTATAGGGAAATAAAAATTTTGCATTTAATCTCTAGTACTACTATTGTGAATAAAATTCCATCTTCATCCTTTGATACCAATAGTTGGGATTTGACTCAACATGACTCAACATGAAATTATGCAAGCAAATAATAATAAAGCAAAATCATCAGAGAAAAAAACACCAATTTAACATGGATAACCTTCAACAGTGAAAAATAACAAAGATAAGAGATTCATTAATCAAGAGAAAACGTTACAATGATTTGATACCCTTTACCTATGAAGTTCTACCTTAACCTATAGGATTTCTTGCCAAATCCACTCTAAGCATCCTTCAAGATTCTCCTTACATCTCTCCACATCTTTTTGCTCACCAAAAGTCACCTTAGGGGGTGGGATCTCCACAACAAAGATGTCTCCACCATACATCATATGTCTACTAATAATGCATATTTATAGTAGATCCAACTAGGAGTTACCATACATTATCATGTGAATCTCGAATTCCTTTGCAATGCAAGTTAGAATTAAATAGGAAATCATTGTTTGGTTTGAGATCAACTTTATTGGGAGAATGATTAAAAAAAGTATTATACAAAAAGTTGTTAAATTTTACAATGAAATTTTTGTTGAGGTGCAAGTGACGTGGGTTGATGAATCAACAACAATGATGACGTGGGTGCTGACTCAGATGCCACCTACAAAGATGAAGAGGGTTCTTTTGATTGGCACTCGTTTCATGTGCCAAAGGTTACGTGCCACAGGCCACCTCACTCTGTCCAACAATGATGATCAACAATAAATTCTTCAATAAAGTCTAAAACTGTGAATTTCCCAACTAAGCTGGGAGAGTTAGGCAGTGATGACGAAGTTTCAAGAGCTAAGAAAGATTATACAACTACCAAAAATAATGAAAATGAGGTGTACATTGTGGTAGGAGTAGCAAGGATAGAGAATATATAGAGATCAAATGTTACAACTTGTGAAGTTCATTTATATATAATTCATTGTAACATAATAGTAAACACAATAAATGTGTCATGTACTATCCTTGATAATACTCCTACTTTATAACGAGCAGCCTTCATGTTATGGGTGAGAAGCACAATAATCTTCTTCAAGTTTTAACAACGCAAAAGAAATAAACTTGAGAGTAGTAATGAGAGAAGGAAGGATGACCATTGTAAGGGCTTATAAATGAAGGGCTTGATCACATTCTTGATACTATCTCTATAACTTAATCCTTTGATGCTCAAGAAGATAATCCCAAAATCTAAAACTATAGCATGCTATTTCCCAGCCATGATGTTCTGCAAGTCTGGAGTGTATTCTGCAAGGCTGGAAGTGTAGAAAGTATGATAAAAATGGAGATGTTCGGGAGGTTTTAGTGTATGGGGTGAAAGGTTGAAGATGAAGAGTTTTTCAAAGGAAAAATGGAGTCAGTTGTGTGAAGAAGAAAATTGGATTTGTGAAAATTTGTTAAAATCTCAAAAAATGAAGGAAAAATTAAAATATATATATGCAGTGGCATTTGGTAATTTTGGGTTCATGGGGTCAAAATTACCAAGTGAACGAACGGTTAGATTTGGGTTAGGTGAGGATACTTGTCGAGTTTTGAGTAATTCTAAGTACTGTTGATAGTTTTTTAAAAATGATATCATGAATTGTCCAATTATTCCAGCAAAGGACTATTGGTTTGTTGGGGGCTTCCCATTTTTGGCAATTTTCTATTCATATGAAATACCATTTTTGGAGGGGTACTTAAGCACAATCGACAAAATCAATTTTGCTCAAGATTTTGGTGATTTTCCTAAGCAAAATATAATCTTTTTCAATAGTTTCCAATGTAGTGGAACTTGTGTAACCATATTTGCGTTAAATACAACTACAACTTTTTAATGGAGACTCAAAGATCATCTCTAGTTAATTTTTAACAAGATTCTAGGTCATCTAGTTAGCATCAAACAGTGTAGTTTTTGGATCAAGCTTTGCCTCCATGTCTTCACCACTTAGCCTTTCTTAGCAAAGTTGGGCACCATCGCCAGCTTCACGCTTGGCTGGTGCGAATAACTCACTTCACCAGACAGGCAACACTCATCCATCCATGCCTACCAAACCACTACTTTCATAGTTTATCTCAAGTAATCCCATGAGCTTGGATTCATGGGTTTGTATTCATCAATAGTTAAGAGTAAAATATGAATGAGTATTTGTTCAAATGTATCAGTGTGAAATGTATAAGTATGTGTAGCAAAAAAGAATACTCCCTCGTGTATCGAAAGAGATGGTGAGAATGAATACTATTGTGCCTTTTTATCCATTGGCCATGGCAATCACTTACATAATACTATTGTGTATGTCTGGCATTGCACCAAAATGAAGAATGAGTAATATGGGTGTATGTTGTGATATCGTTTTGCCAAACCAAGCATCGCTAGTCAACGATACTTGTCAACACGTAAAAATATAGAGGAAGTATGTTGTATATCAAGATTATTGACGACCAGTAATTTTATCCCTTTGTATAGAAGAATGATGATATGCATGACCAGTGGTCATGTTGTATGAATGTCATAAAGTTAGCCATGACTAGCTTCCCTATAGTTAGAAGGACAACAATGGCTAGCTTTGCCCATAGTTGGAGCGTGAACTATGTGGAATCAAAAAGCATTCCCACTAATCTACCAAGTCACGAAGGGGATAAATCTCATTAAGCCAAACTCCGCCATAGCGATGAATATGTAACAAAAATAGGTGGAGTTGTCTCCATGGAAGGGGGATGCCAACTACATCTATGGCTTCCGATACAACAAGATGTGATATCACAAACAAATGCTGGCCTTTCTTACTATACCTGCAACGTTAGAGGGTGGTCTTGGTTGTTGTTGCCTATCAAGTATTGCACCACCATGCATGGCCAACCACCAAAGGACCGCTGGCTGCAACTTGATGGATTTTTATCACTGGAGGGTAACCATCCCAACCAATTGTAGGGTTGCAAATGTTATTGGCCTCATGCTAATCGTATCAAGTTATGCTGACTCTTTGTCCATTTTTGAAAGCCAATGAGATAAAATATTTAGAGATCCAACCTTTTATTCGTTTTTGAGAGTTAGTGTAATGAAGATATGTAGAAATGTGTAGCATTTTGCCCATTACTAGAGGCTTAATGAGATAGCAAATCTGGCCCTTTGTCTATCATTGTGAGCTATGTAGATGTAACAGAATCAATTTGTTGTCCATTGATGGGAACCATGTGTATATAGTAAAGTAGGTTTTTTTGTCCATTATTGGGAGCTAAAAAGATGTAGTAGTAAATGTTGTAGCAAAGATCATGACTGTCAAAAACACTGAACCTTGTCGTGAAGATAGATATAGCCATGTCTGACCATGTATATGAAAATAGATGTTTAAGTAAATTATGTCTGTAATATTTCCAACGAAGTGGATGAATGCCATTTCTAGCAATATTGACTCTGTTGTAGTTAGTAGTAGAAAATAAAATATTACAAATCTGATGTGGAAATAAACCATGTAAGCCCTTCCTAGTCACAAGTCCACAGCCAATCTTGTTGATGTGGCGCTCCACATGTTATCAGTTTTTAAAAAATACAAATTCATCTCTCAATAATTTTTAAAAAAATACAAATTCATCCCTCAACAATTTTAAAAAAATACAAATTCATCCCTCAATAGTTTTATAAGATTTTTTTTTTTTTGTTATATTTTCTATGTTTGGTAAGAAATTAACATAGAGAAAGTTGGTAAGAAAATTATCAAAGAAATTTTACATAGGGAAAGTTGGGGTGAAAACTCTTTTTAAAAAGTGTGAATAGGGAAAGTTAGGGTGAGAACTCCTTTTAAAAAGTGTGAACGGAAAAGTTTACTAAATGAAAATTATATTTGAAAAAATAAATGTTAAAAATGTCATTTTTATTCTCCTTTTATTATAATGTTATGATGTGAAAATACATAAATAACTCTAAAAAATCCAAATCAGGGGGAAAATTGGGGGAACTTTCCTTCTCAACCAAACGCCTCTTAAAGCTCACTAGAACTCCACATAAATATTTCTTGAATAGTTATAGGCTATTGGGTATGGATGTCTGAAACTAACAATTAGTGGTTTTATTTAATATAATAGATAAAAGTATTTGATTTATCAACAATATCAATTATCAACTATTAAATTAAACAAAACTACTAACCATTGTTTTTAAATCACTATACCAAACAATTTTAGTCCTACCCAAACTAGAACTCCAAAGTTTACTCGAAACTCTAACCAAGATAAATTCTCCATGGTCAGTAAATGAAGTTGTGAAGGTTCTAAACCCTTGCCTAAAGGTTATGAAACCTTGTTGCATTCTGCATCTTTGCCAGCTTTTAGGTTCCGAAACCTTAAGCAAGGTTTTAGAACCTTTTTCAAAAGTAATTCAGGCACATACTTAGATGTGGCAATTTGCCTTGATTCCCATGGGCCTCGTGGGGATCCCTACCACGAAGATAAGACTAGGAGGAATATTCATCCCCACGGTGTGGGGACAAGGGCATTTTCCCCCGCGAAACTTCATGGGGAATTTTCCCCACATCGCGAGGCCCTATGAGGATCCCCATCTCTGCAAAAATTAAAAAAAATATATGTAAATTAATTTTATTTTAAATTTAATTTAACCTTCAAACCCAAACCCAAACCCAATCCAATAAAAATTAAACTTAACCTAATTTTATCCAACCCAACCCATTATTAACCATTTAACCCTAACCCTTATTCATTTCTCATCACTCTCACCTTCCCAACTTCCCCTCCCCTTTTACAGCTTTGTCGTCTGCACTCTTCTTTAAAGATCTCAAACCCTATTCCCTCCATTATTGCCCTTTTGCCCCTTTCTCCCTTTTGCCCTTCTCAACTCTCACCTTTTTGCCCTTACTTTCACCTTTGCACTAGACTAATATGTAACCAAAATGAGAAGCTCTCGATCTCTGTCTCTATTAGCCATCACGATCACCGTCTTCTCATTGCCCATCACAAGGAACGACACCGTTTTCCACCAAAAAAAATCCAAAACCCTAGCTCCCGTTGGGGCTTTCGTGTTATCTAGCAATATATCACTGTGAATTAAGAGTCTAAAAAGACGAACACAAGTGGGGTAGAGATTGTGGTAAATTACAAGTATGTTGGTTTAGTTTGGATTAATCTTTATTTATGTTTGGAACAAGTTTATTGGTGTAGTTATTTATGTTGAATTAATTTTTATTTACCTTTGGACAATTTACATTTGATCTTATATTTAAAGAATTTTAATTAATTGTATTTAATTTTTAAAATTTTATTCATTGTAATTGAATATTAATTAATTATATGTAAAAGATTTATTGTTTGATATTAATTAATGAGGAATGAGGATCTCAACGGGAATCCCCATTCTTCGTGGGGAATGAAAATTGGAGCAAAATCTGCCTTTGTCAAAAATCTCCGCGGGGATCCCCATCTTCGCTATTCATGGGGACAGGGATGGAGAAGGACTCCTTGACCCTACGAGTTAACATCCATACACATACTCAACATTTTTTTGGTACAATTGTCTACCTATCAAAAATTTTTGGCAATGAAGTCCTCTATTATTACCATACCAATACCTACCAAATCTATTTTATACAATTTTTCTTTTGCAAATTTGAAGTATTATGCAACTTCTAGAGAGAAAAGAAAATCAATTTGTTATAGAATTATTCTAATAAAAATAATAGACCATGCATTTAATAAAATAACTTTAGTTTTATGGTTTTTAACTTAAAACTTAATGGTAAGTTCTCCGCCAAATAGGCAAGAGATTTGGGGTTTAAATTGTAAGTATATAAGTAGAATACATAAAGAATGAGAGAAAGTTATTTTTTTATATGTAACTTAAAATATAAAAAAATAATTCTTAAAAATGTATTTATAAAACTTTTAAATTTTTATTAAAAAAATTAATTAACTTAAGAGAAAAAAAAATCATGACAACGTCATCCATGATGACACCCCTCTTGTTATTACTGTTTTAAATTAAAATAAATTGATAAATATCAATTATCACTAGAGGCTAACCTGCCAATCGTTCTACCATGTCGCTGCCACATGGGACAGCAATGGTATTGCAGTGCCCACTCCTAATGACAGGCACGCGCAGTACTCATCAATAATTCCCGTACTAGTATTCAGCACTCAGCGGCTAAACTTCAAAGACTAAATTTTGGTGTCTTTTTAGGAAGGGCCACACTCTGAACTCTGAAGTCTGATCCACGCTGGACAGCCATATCCTTCTGCAAACCAAAATTTGCTTCCCAATCTAGAAAAACAAGAAGGGAGGAAAAGTCTTTCCCATATACAAACAAAATAGACAGGCCATCAAAGCAAAATGCTGGAGTTCGTTTCGTCGTACCAGTTCTCACAACTTTTTTTTAGAGAGTATTAGTCCTACAATATTTAAGGCTTTAACTCAGCTTATTAATGCCATCTCTTGACTTTGTTCATTCATTTTTTTTTTCTAATTTTAATTTCATCTTTTGCCGTTCCTTTCATATACTTCAGTTACAGATACTCTCTGTTTATTTGATTGCTTAATGGCAGAGGGGGAGAAAGGGAGGCAGAGGTTCAAATAAATCTATGCTTGTAGTGGCGCGGAGCTAGAAATTGATTTTAGGGGGGGGCCAAACCACCGTTTAGAGACATATATTGAAAATGAATTTTTTTTAGAATTGAGACTTTTCAAATAAAATTAAGAATCATATTAAATCAAAATTACATGTTATATATAAACAACTTAAAATTATGCTTTTTTTATGTATTTAAATTTCAATTCTTAATAGAATTATTATTACAAAATACTAATTTATATATTCTAGACAGTACAAAAACTAAGTTGTTCTAAGAAATTAGTATATCGATTCCGAGTTTATCATATGGTGCAACCTTTAGATGGGGGATAATAACACAAATTTTTAAAAATCAAGTTGTATCATATGATAGCCACCTTAAATAAATATAGATTTCTCATAAATAAAAGCTACTTTAATTACTTGTGAAATATTAGTGACTTTTACCTTCTTGTAACAAAAATTATCATTAATTCACTATAATTAGAAAAACATATATATAGTACATTTTTTATTCAAACAAATCGTGAAAGGAAGGAGAAATTTTGTCATTCTATTAATCAAATTGTACAAGGAGAGATGTTCAAAGAATTAATGCATTGGCGGTGTGAGAATTGTCATCAAGAGGCATGATTTCAAAGCATGTTCGACCAAGACATGATCAATAAATTCATGATCATCCAAAGGGATAAAATTCAAACAATGAAGGAAGTTGAATTCAAAGAATTTTTTTCATCTTAAATTCACCTTGCTGAAATTCAAGTTCTTTTACTTTTAGTTATTCAATCGGTTAAGCAACGAAAGCAAAATTCAAAGAATTAGCTAGATAATTATTAGGTTATAATTTTTGATAATGTATTACTTAATTACATTAATTATTTATGCGGACGCTCGGATGCCCAGGGATCATGCGTGCAACACCATACGTACCCCCAAATTTAACGCGGGTTTGAAGGTTCACCTGTCTTTAATAGACGTAATGTTATATACATGGTTGCAGGCTACGACAATTAAACCACCACATGAACCATTCTCGGTCCTTTAAACTCATGTGTCTAGCTGTATGCTGATTATTTGTCATCATGTACTACTCATCAGACCCGAATGCTATGGCGAATCAAAGCCCTCCAGGACCACCCCATGTGGCCGGTTACCAGCCTCCAGCAGCTGATATTGCAGAGTCCTCAACAAGCCGGCAGCAACAGAGTAGCAGCCCCAACGATTATAGACAAAATGCACTTCCTCCTCCTCCTCCAAATCCTCTTCTTCATATTCCTCCCCCTCAGCCCTGGAAAGGGAACCCTTGGTCTTCAGGCCTCTGCGGTTGCTTTTCCAACGTCCCCAACTGTAAGTTCTCTTCAAAATGATTCCTTTTAATTTTCATTCCTTTTGGGTCCATTACTTGGCACATACATTGTTGTTGCATGCGATCGATCAAGTTGGATTAATTCATGATGAATATTGATCTTCGTATGTATGTTTGACTGCATGCAGGTTGCATGACATTTTGGTGCCCTTGCGTCACTTTTGGGCGAATTGCCGAGATTGTGGATAGAGGATCAACGTGTAAGGAACTTTTTTTTGAGTAAAATGCAAGTAGGAGCTTAAAATTAATAAATTAATTACTATTTGAGTGTAAATAATTTTAATTGATTACATATGCTTACTAATCTACAAACCTTTGAAGGTAGAGCTCTTACAATGCCTATAAATATTGAAAAGATTAGGTTGACCAATGCAAAGATATGCCCATTATCCAAAAATTAAAAGGGCACTGTTATTGTAAAAATTGTAATTAGGTAAAAAAAAAAACTTCTTTTATTCTAGAAATTGAAATTAGGTCAAATAATTAAGATTTCTTTTTTATCTATTTTTGTTGATAGACATAATTAAGCATTTCTTGGATTGTTGTGCAGTAGTTGCAAGTTTGTATGCTTGAGAACCCATTGCAGATGATCATTATATGTGGGACGGTCTCCAAATGAAAATATAGTGGGAGACGTTTTCCAAATAGATGGCGCTGCGGTCTCTTGTTGGAGAACCCACTGGAGATGTCCTTATGTGATTGAAAAATGAAATACATAACATTAAGTTAGCATACTAGACTAGCCAAAATATACGTTGATGTGTGCAAAACTATAATTGAATTAAGTGTTTAATTTTTAAGTTTGATATTTTATAGTTTAGATTATATCAAACTGTAAAACACAAGTCATTTGAATTAAGTGTTTAATTTTTAAGTTTGATATTTTATAGTTTAGATTATATCAAACTGTAAAACACAAGTCATTAGATGAAAGGATTCTCCATTATTAGAGAGTTTCTTTTTAATTTAATTGTTAATGTTTTGCAAACTAGATTACAAAATATTTTTTCACTATTTTTTTTTGGTTAATTTGATTCTTTTATTTGATGTTCAATTTCCATTGTTTTGTTGAAGCCTGTGGTGTAAGTGGAGCAATATATGCTCTAATTTTCTGTTTGACTGGGTGTGGCTGCATATATTCTTGCTTCTATCGCTCTAAATTAAGAAAGCAGTATGTGTTGGAGAAGAGCCCCTGCGCGGATTGCGTAGTTCATTTTTGCTGCGAACCATGCGCCTTGTGCCAGGAATACCGCCAGCTCAAAGCCCATGGATTCGACATGACTCTTCGTAAAATAGTTACTCTCTTAAAATAAAATATACTATTGCTAGATTTTTATTTTTTTAATAAACAGGCTATATATAATATAGAATAATTTTTTCAAAACTCATATTTACATGTCTTGAGATTTCAATATAAGATTTTTAGTATAAAAGTATAACTTTTAACTTCTAAACCTCCTCTAAAAGACAAAACACAATTACTCCTTTGGGGCACAAGGTTTGAACTACTCCCCTTCGTCTTTCCTAAAATTCTACCTAAATTCTTAATTCGGAAAAAAAAATAAAAAATAACACTTATTTTGAAATAGTTAAAATATAGAATATTAAAAAAATAATAAAAATATATAAAAATTAATTAAAAAATGTAAATTTATATTTTTAAACAAGCTGACATGTAAACAAGAATTGTGTAAAGTATTGCAAAGGAATCCTTTGTTATCATAGCTTGACCATTTGCACATGTTTTTGGTAATGCTTTACTATCCTAGTTTCACAATGAATCTTCACATTAAAAATGTTAGTATATTCTGATTTTTATTTTTTTTAATAAAATAAAATTACTTAACAAAATTTATATATAGAAAAATAAATTTAATTATCATTAATATATTATAAAAAAAAGCATTAACTAAACAATCATATAGTTAAACTATGACAATTAAATTAAAGTGAGAAAGTAATTTAATTATATTGATGTATGCATTCAGCTAGACGAGCTTAGCAGATTGATATCTTTTGGAACTGAAAAAAATATATATACAGGATGGCATGGAAACATGGAGAGACAGATGCCAGGCGTCTTAGTGCCTCCTGTGGTAGAAAGCGACATGAGAAGATGATGGAAATCATGGAATTTATGGGCTACATCACTTGCTCAACATCTAAGCCTACACCTTATACATGAATTAGTAAACCTAGTGCAGTAATAATATCCCTATGAGGTTCATTTACTAGAAGTATTTGAAAGCAAAAGGTCGGTAATTAGTTCCAAAAAGGGTCATTATAATTAGATCCTTCGGGCAATTTATAAGAGACTTGTCCCCTTGTATTTTAGGGGGTGTTTATTTTAAAATTTTATGAACAGTTATATATTAATTGTTGGTTATAATTAACAGTTTAAATATATTAAATTATAAATAATAATAATTATTAATAATTAAATTTTAACTATCAATTATATTACATATAAACAATTAATCTAAACACTATCTTACCACTCATGAATATTGGTATAATCTAAATTATAAAAGATGTCTAATAATATTTTTGTGTAGAGCTTGGTGTTTAATGGAGAGCCCTTTTAATTTTAGGAATTTTCTCTTAATAAAATGATTATTAATATTTTCAATTTAATACAATTTAAATTTTGAAAACACCTTTTTTTAATAAAAAAAAAAAAACAAAAAACAAAAAAAAAAACAAAAAAGTGGAGCTAGGTTCACGGAACCCAGCAGACACAAAGGAAGAGGAGGAAGAAAGAAGAGGAAGAAAGAAAAAGAAAAAAAAGAAAGGAAGAAGCTGGATCAAGAAAGGGAGATGGGTAAATTTGTAATTTTTTACTTTTTATTAAGGTAAAATCGGTTTATGAGTTGGTAATGAGTTGGATGAGTTGGTCATGACATGTCTTAAAAAAAAATTCCAAATCAGCGCTTTTTTAAATTGTTTTTGTCATGTCATCAAAAAAATTATAAAAAATGCTACATGTCGTAGTTAACGGTCTAAATTGACAGAAGGACTAACGGAGTGCATTTCTTAAAGTTGAGGAATAAAAAAAGTGCAAAAAATTGTTGAGGGACCAAAAATGTGCAACTCACTAAAGTTGAAGGACCAAATTTAACATTTAACCAAAAAAATATATACAGGATGGCATGGAAACATGGAGAGACAGATGCCAGGCGTCTTAGTGCCTCCTGTGGTAGAAAGCGACATGAGAAGATGATGGAAATCATGGAATTTATGGGCTACATCACTTGCTCAACATCTAAGCCTACACCTTATACATGAATTAGTAAACCTAGTGCAGTAATAATATCCCTATGAGGTTCATTTACTAGAAGTATTTGAAAGCAAAAGGTCGGTAATTAGTTCCAAAAAGGGTCATTATAATTAGATCCTTCGGGCAATTTATAAGAGACTTGTCCCCTTGTATTTTAGGGGGTGTTTATTTTAAAATTTTATGAACAGTTATATATTAATTGTTGGTTATAATTAACAGTTTAAATATATTAAATTATAAATAATAATAATTATTAATAATTAAATTTTAACTATCAATTATATTACATATAAACAATTAATCTAAACACTATCTTACCACTCATGAATATTGGTATAATCTAAATTATAAAAGATGTCTAATAATATTTTTGTGTAGAGCTTGGTGTTTAATGGAGAGCCCTTTTAATTTTAGGAATTTTCTCTTAATAAAACGATTATTAATATTTTCAATTTAATACAATTTAAGTTTTGAAAACACCTTTTTTGGGTGGGGTTATTGCCACACCCTATTTTGATAATGCCACATCTAAAATTATAAACTGACATAATTACCCATCATTTTAAAAATAATTTATTTTTCTTTCCAAAACTACCCTTTTTTACTTCTTTTAACCCTAGCCGCTGCAACCCTCATTCTACTTCATATTTTAATTACATTGAACAGAGTCATACGCAGCTTCCTCTCTGTTCGTTTATTTTCAAAGTTTTCCTATCTTAATTCATGGTGAGCCATCCTTCTTGGGTTAATTTGTGGTCATCCTCTTCTGTTTTTTTCTTCTTTCTTTATATATAAGTTAAATTTTTCATACTTTTTTTTATGAGTTCTTAATATATATATATACACACACATAGGCATATATATGTGATTGGATTTTTATTTTTGTTGTTAAAATGGTTATTTTACTTTGCAGATTAGTTGTTTCTTTGATCTAATATGGAATCTCAAGAGATAAGTACAAACCATCAAGTGGCTGGACAATCTGAAGAAAATGAAATGCCTGAATTGTTTGGGAAATCATTTGAAACTCGTGATGATCTCCTTCAAAGCACAAAAAGATTTTATTTAAAAAATGGATATGCAACAACCATCAAGAAATCTAAAAAGGATAGATTTGTGCGCATTGGATGTGATAGAGGAGGCGTCTATCGGAATTGACAGAATACTCCATTAGAGCTTCGTAAAAGGAAATCATCAAGTCGGCTTATAAATTGTCCTTTTGAAGTTATTGGTAGGAAGCAAAGTGATGGTACTTGGATACTTCAACTTATAAATGATTCCCATAACCATGAAGCATCTAGTGATATGTCCGGTCACCCTAGTTGTCGTCGTTTTTCAGTAGAAGAAATGCATAGTGTTGAAGAAATGGCTTCTTCTGGGATACCGACACGACAAATTCTCTCATCACTAAGGCAAAAAAATCCAGGCCTTCAAGCAATCTCTAGAAATGTATACAATTCAATACACAAGATTCGAGAAGAAAATTTGGGAGGTCGTACCATGGTTCAAGCATTATTTGAAGAACTAGGTGAGGGTGAATTTTTCTACAATATAAAGCATGATGAAAATGGTTGCTTGACACATATTTTTTGCTCACCCTAATTCAATCATTCTCACAAGAAGTTTTCCACATGTTTTTGTCATGGATTGCACCTACAAGACAAACAAATACAAGATGCCTTTACTTGATATAATTGGGGTGTCATGCTTCAATACCTCTTTCTATTCTTGCTTTACCTTCATGGAAAAGGAGAGAGTAGAAGATTATGTTTGGGCTTTAACAATGTTTAGAGAAGTGCTTGGGCCTAATTGTCAACCGCTGGTTATTATTTCCGATAGGGAATTGGCTTTGATGAATGCTATACGAGTTGTTTTTCCAAGTGCTACTAATCTTTTGTGTGTGTGGCACATTGAGAAAAATATCTTGTCAAATTGCAAGCGTCACTTTGAGGCACAAGAGGATTGGGATGCTTTTATGTCTTCTTGGAATGGAGTAATAAGATCTTCAAGTGAGATTGATTTTGAGAAAAATTGGAGGCTGTTTGAAGAGTTGTACAAGGAAAGGAGAGAAGTTTTAACTTACATTGAAAATACATGGCTTCCATTTAAGGAGCAATTTGTTGATGCTTGGGCAGAGAAGTTTCCACATTTCAGACATCGGGTCTCTTCAAGAGCAGAAGGAGCACATGCTAAGCTGAAGGCATATTTGCAAGTTTCAACTGGTGATTTTCGTCAAGTAAAAGAGAAGATTTGTCTTGCAATTGCAAATGAATTTCAAGAGATTAAAGCCTTACTCTCTAGTGGAAGAATTCGGATGCCTCATGATTGTAACAATGCGTTCTTCAAGGAAGTTGTCACGAAAGTTTCCATGCATGCCTTGAAAGAGTTATACAAGCAATATGAAATGGTTAAACATGGGACAATGGATCCTTCATGTACAGGTCACTTTTTGTCAAGTATGGGCCTTCCATGCGCACACAAGATGATGACTACTTGGAAAGATGGGGTGCTTCCTATTTCATCCATACATTCACAATGGAGGATCGACTCACTGTCATTAACTTGTTCAGATGGGATGATGAATGAGGAGGACAACTTTAAAGAGATGCTTAGTGAATTGCAAGATAAATTTAAAAAATGGCCTCTCATGCATAAAGAAAAAGCCCGTGCTACAATTTCTCAACTTGTTAGTGCATCACTTCATTCCTTGAGAGAACCAAGCAATGGCTCAAAGCAAAAAAGGGGATCAAGCTCAACACAAAGAGATCCTTCAAGATTTGAGATTGTGGAAAAAAGAAGAAAATGTAGTGGTTGTAAGAATTCTGGGCATGACATTCGTACATGTCCCAGCAAGAACAAAGTTAGTGAACAAATCTCATATTCCATAGCTAACTCACTTGATGAATGTGCGATTGGAGGAATTGACTCGAATATGGTACCTGATTTGGATTTTGTCTCTTCCTTTAATTAGATAAGGTAAGGCTTTCACTTCAATATTTTAAACTTAATTATAAATTGTTGATTTAAATTAAGTTAACTAACTTATTATTTGTTTTGGTAGGCTAATGAGTTTGGAGCTTTGTTTCCTTTATTTTCATGTAAGTATAGACATTTTATTAAGCATTTGTTATATGCATTTTTTCCTGTTTAAATTTCATGATCTAACTGATGAAGAGCAA